CTGTTGGTGAAATCACACCCACAGGACAGGGACCCTTCCTTGTCTGTGTGATGAGACAATTCAGGCACTGTGCAGTGTCTTCTCACTTGGATCACAATAATTTATACAGTAAAATCCCATGAGTTTAATAAATTAAAAGGTGGCTGTTTGGGCTTGTCTGAGGGAAATGAAGAGGTGGGAGGGTGATAGCTACTTTAGCTTAAGAGATAAGGGCTGAGACCTGGCAGTAGCACACACCCAACTGCAGGCCAAGTTCTCCCTTTGCAGGGAAGGCTTAGTGCTGCCTTGTGTAAGAGGCTGTCACAAGAGGAATCTTTTGGCAGCTCAAAAGCAGCACACAGTGCCTGCACTGCATGTGTGCCCACAAGTGTAACAGCAGAAGTGGCCCTGTTGGATGCAAAACAGCGTTGCTTGCTCCTTGACAGGAGAATTTTCTCTTGAAGGTTGACAATTGCCCATGCAAATTAGAGCTGCCTGCAGTTTCGAGAGTACAAGGACAAACGTTTTGTCATGTCTTCACCAGAAATCAAGTCACATGAAACATGATTTGCCACTAAGACATGTTGCTTGTCTGGGCTTCACAATGCCCCTGAAATGAGCACAAGCAACTCAGAGGATAAGGTGCCATCAGCTAAGCTCTGCTTCTGCCTGATCTTTAAGAATTGGAGGTCTTGGTGGCACTGGAATTGAAGAACCAATCTATCCCTGATAACAAAATACCTTATCATCTGCCTTCTCTTTCCTGCTAAACGATTGGTTGCTGTAAGCACTCACTCCTGTAAAAAACTTCTACCCATCAAGGGGAAGAAATTCCAACAATTACATGGACAATTAGGGTAGACATTTAAACAGCAAGGAGTGTACAAGCTAGATGTGGCCTTCATGACATTTGCTATTGAACTGGGTAACTGAGGAGAAATTGTAGGCACTTGAGTGAATCCAAGTAACAGCAAATGCAGGTTAACTAAAAATGCAGTTAACCCCTGAAAGTGCAGAGCCAATGGATTACCATGTAAAGAGCAGGAAGGTGGCTGCTGTCCATTTTAGTGCAAAGGGAAGGACCTGTGCACAGCTGGGGCACCTGGGATACCACTCTGAGGCCCCACTGGTCCAATGCATGAGAGAGAAGTGCAAGAAAGAGAACATTTCTAGTGCAAGTTGCTAGCAGCAGTACTAAAGTAAAAACAGGCGTGTTCCTCTTCAAGATCAGCTGACAAGCCTGGCAGCATGAGGGTGAATGAGGCCAAGGTCCTCCTTCAGAGAGGCTGTTGGGGAGGGACAGACTGTAATTCACTTCAGGAGAGTGTTGATTGACAGTAAAGAGGAAGCTGGCAGCCCTTGCTTCCCACTATGCTCACTGGTGGCAGCGTTGGCAGTGGCAGAGCACAGGGAGGAGGGAAATTAAGAGATCGGGGTGGCTGCAAAAGGAGGGGGAAGTCAAAGCTTCTTCTTTTCCCTGCTCTGCCTCTGGTCCCTCAGTTTGACCTTGTTTGTCTCAGTTCTGTTGTGTTTCTTGATGTTTGTTTTCCCTAGGGGTTCACCTTCAAGGACAGATCTCTGTGAAGAGAATCCCTCCATCCTTTGTCAAAAAGAATTCCTGCACTGCTAGAGATCCTGAGCAACATCATCTGGCAGGCCTCCCTGCTGTCCCTGCCATCCCTGTATTGGTGCTACCTGGGGTGCCATGGGTGCCCCAGGGACAGGTGGCTGCTCCTCATCCTTTCTGCTGACACCATCAGAGTGGCAGCAGGTCTTACAAGGAACTTCATGACCCAAGTCATGTAACCATTTCTGTCCTCTCAGATGCATTTGCCTCACAGGATGGCAGCATTTGATATCTCAAAAGATAAAGAGTATTTTTTTGTAAGCAAAAGAAAACTACAGAAGATTGATGGTAGTATAAGGATGAGTAGAAATGAGCTCAAAACGATAGTCAAGGTAAAAGTCTAAATAATCAGATGACTGAGAAGGGTTATAATGTGCAAGTGGAGAGTCACTGAGTCATGTTTCAAGCTTGTACCATAAAATGATCTATAACTATTTCCCAGAAGGTGATTATTTTGCATAATACAGATGTTTTATGAAGTGTTCATTGGAACTCAATGAATAATTATTTTTTTGTTTCATTGGCATATTTGGAAAGTCAAGAGGACTCATTTCAGTCAGACTGAAAGAAAAAAAATGGATTTTTTTTTTAATAGAGTAAAACAAGTAATAATTTGGAGGCTTCAAAACAGACATTTAATCATAAAACAATTAAGACCTGATTTGAATGGTGACTATTTAAATATTGTTGAATATTTAAAAACAGAGGGTTTTTGGAAGGAAAATGATGCTTTGAAAGAAAAATAAAATAATTTAATTTGAAAAAAAAAATTGATAAATATTTTATTTGAAATTCTGATTTTTTTCCTTGTTAATAAAGATCACAATTGTACTGGCCAAGCTCCTGAAGTTTATTACTATCTCCTGTCCTAAACTGTTGGCTGCAGAAGTTTATTTCAAAAACAAAAACCCCATTCCAAGGCTTGACAGTATATCAGGCAAATCCAAATTTCTCAAGACTCCAGAGCTTGCAGCTCCATGTATCTCCAGATCCTCAGAGGCCCAGGGACTTTAACAAAACACTAATCAGTCACTGCCAAGTCACAGAAAGTAATGATAGCTGCATCCTCTCCAGAGCCTGCATTTGCCAGCTCAGTGCATTATGACTTACTACACAATCTACCATTAAATGGCTTGCAAATGAAATTACTCTGTGTCAGGATGCAGTATTAAAAGTGCAGCAAGAAAAGTGCTCTTACAGAACATTTTAGTTAAACCCCTTCAAGGCAGGAATGGACAATGCTGTAGTTTGGTAGCTGAAGGAATGGTAATGAAGGGAGACAGAGTCCTGCTTAACCCCTGTAGCCCAAAGCTCTTAGTACAGAGATACCCTGTATTTTCACTGAATCTTGACCCCTGGCAATAACCCAGCACAGGCTGATACACGAGGCACTTAGTATTGCAGGAACACCAATAACAAGGCTGTGGCAGCAAAATTTGTTGATGTGCTTAGGTTCTTGGATTAATGAGAACCAGGCAGTCTGCTTTCTTCTGCTTTTTCTAAAAGGCATCAGTTAGTTGCTGACATTTGAAACTCAGAAAAAGTGGGTTAATACAATGGCCATTTAAATGAGCAAACATAGCATAAAACCTTAGGAAGTGAAACTTTCTCAAGAAAACTTTGCTTAACTGCAGTTGCTCTTGCTGAAAAAGAGCATCTTTATCTCATTTCACCCATTATTGGTTCTAGACAGAAAAAGTTAAAAATAGACTTTGACAATATGTAAGACACTGCTGGGTCTTATTTTTTTTTTTTCAAAAGGGCTAATGATTTAAAAATGGAATATGTTTTTGAGGACTTAAAAAAAGTTTTATGAAAATAGGTACATGCATTTTCTAAAAAATTCTCTTTTCCTTCAACATTTCTTCAAAATTGTAAAATTCAAAACATTTCTTCCTATTTTGCTTAGATTTTGGTTTTTATTGGACCCCATCCAACACATTTGTTTTCTTTGTATGTACCAGAGATAATCTCACTGATATCAAAAAGAGGAATTCCCCAAGGGGTGTGCTACCCACAAGCCCATCCTCTCCTACTGATTTTTCAGCCTTTTTTCATAATTTCTTTCCCCTCTAGGAATACATTTGCAAACTTCCTTGATTCTCCCCTTCATCCTTAGTACACAGGCAAACAAAACTGATCACTATCATATGTTGTAGTATGTTATCCCTGTGGCCAAAACATAAAGAATTCTTTTGGAGGATGGATTTGAATTTTAAAATGTAGGATTTCCTAGCTGGGTTTTCAGGTATGATAGTGGGAGGAACCAGGTAGAGCTGTGATGAGGCACTTAAGTTGAATGCTCACTGCACTCAGAGGCTTTATAGCAGGCACTAATCAGTGCTCAAATTAAATAACCAGGAGAGCAAGCTCCATTCACACATTCAAGTTAATATCTTTAAGGGTTGCTATGATGTGACTGTCTACCTTGCCCATCTGGCCTTTTATATACTTCAGGGGTTTGTTTTTGTATTTACTTGGTAGGCACTTTGGGAAAGGGCAATTGCTAAGTCCAAGAAATATGGTTTCAAATGCTTCATAAATGAAGGAAGACAAAGGGAGTTTGAGTTATCACTAATTAATTAATTCAATTAATTTGTTGATGCCAGCCATAAAACCACTGCTTGGCTATAGTATCCCATTCGCAGAGACGTCTGCCTTATGGAATGACAATTTTTTTTGCAACTACTACACTTGAAAATTAGAAAGGTTCTTGCAAAGTCTGGGATTTATTCTACAATCCTCTGCTGGAAAATCTGTATCTTTGTTTTCCAGAGCCCAGTCTATGATTTAATAACCATTCTAATGGCAACTCACAATCCTTGCCTACATCAAGTAAATTGTGTAAACTTTCAGTAACATGTGGTGGCATGAACCAAAAGGCAAACAGATTGAACATTAAAGATCGTTAAATCAGGGCATCAACCCTACAGATCGTAGACATAATTCCCAGAATTACATTTTCATACAAGCCCTGAATAAACAATCAGTGATAAAGCCACTATTCATTCTATGCTTTTTGTAAATAAATCTGTAAGGAAAGAGGCAAGGAGAAGGTGTTTGAAACAGAAAAGCAAGGCAAGGTTTATAGCAAGGGGGGATTCTGAAATGGTCCCCACCCCTCGGTGCTGTGTTTCTGTATTGCCTAGCTTTGTCATGCAAAATTTTAAGAGCATTATTGATAGAGATGCAGGTGGTGCATTATCTGGTCTTCACTAAAATGTTTTTTTCACTCATAAGAGACTTCTGGGCAGGTTTTGTCTCAGAATCTACTTCACTCAGCCCAACAGTGACAACTGAAAGCACAAAAAAGCTGCATGTACCCTTCACTGACCCAGCCACTCATATTTCAGCCAAAACATCCTTTTCCCCCTTGGTATTCTCATTTCCCTACCTCCTTCTCATCACAAGTCCTCTGAGATTTCCTCGTTGAAGCTGGTCCCCTAAAATGTCCAAGGCTTGTGGCTTGTATTTCCAAACTCAGTGTGCCCCTGGGAAGATATGCATACTGTGCTGTACTTCTGAGATCTAGTCCCTGCAAATGCAAATCAGAAAAAATGTGGACATGGTTGAATGTGACCAAATACCTTTAGAAGCCTTAGCTCATGATTCTCATTCACCTCAACTGCTGGAACAATCTCTGCTGGCCTTGACAAACATTGGCTCACTGCTGTGTATTTCAAAGGTTAGTAAATATCTGTCAGTTTGAACACCTTGTTACTTTCTTTGTGCTTGTCCAGTGACTTCTGCCTTCTGTTACAATACAGATTTCTCCCTTAATTTAATTTAATTTAATCTAATTTAATTTAATTTAATTTTCTTTCATTTTCTAGCCCATCCCATTCTAACTATCAGCTCACATCCACTCTTCAGAAATGGCCTCCAGACTTGGGCAAACAAAGCTGACCTTCATTACTCACTTGTCATTAATTCAAAGAAGTACTTTAGAATCTTCTCCGTGCCCTTCCTTGGACGAACCTCACACTGTGAGCTTATGAAAATGCCTTTCTTTGTCAGGGCTCCTGTCTTTCAAACATTTGGATTCTACATAAGTCTACTGCACTGGAGCACTATCTCCTTTATGTAAACTTCATTGAGTCCTTTGCTTTATAAAGGTTTAATTCTAGGTTTTTCAGGAGTCCTGCTTTGATCTTAATAGTTTGAAATACCATAATTTTTATTTTTATTACATCAGGGACTTCATTAGCCCTGTGTAAACTGGAAGCAGGCCCTTAATTATGCCCCTCATCTGTACCCTTTAAAATATTTCTTACCCATCTAATTTCTTATCAGAACATAATTTCTCACATTTTCAGCACTGATTTATTCTTGTGTCCCTCAATAATGCAAACTGCTGCATGTGTGTCAGAGCCAGAGACTCAGAAGTATGCCTACCTCTTTCTGGTTTTCCTTTTTGCAATGCTTTAAGAAATAAAGGAAAGTGGAAGTAAAACATTTCCCCAGTATTTCTCCAGTCATGGGGTACACAACTGAATTTTAGATTTGAGGGGTTCATTTGAATCTTCTCAGCTTATTCACAAAAACAGACTAGCTTTCAGTGTTTGCTTTGAGGTGAAGATACCTGCTTTATTCTGTGCTCAATCCCAAGTGATTGGTCTAGAAACCACAAATAATTGGAGCTCTGCTTTGGAAAACTCCTTCCAGTAAAGGAAAGTCGTTAAACATCTGCCAAGGCACTTAAGGTCTGTTAAAAGTTGTCCTAAAATCTTTCCCTTGCCACAGCCTCCTGCAGAAAACTGGAGAAGATTAAGGAAGTTGGTGTGTGAAGACCTTTTGCCTGTGTTGTTTCTCAGCCCTGTATCTCTCTTTCCTCGTACTTCTGTCTGTATCTCTTTCCATACATCTCAGATCTTACATTTTGACCATAAGCTGCATGGGGATGGGGTGGGGGCAATACATTCACACAGGCCTGGTTACTACTGGGACATAGATGGCTTATGACAAATATCATGTAGCAAACCCAGCCAGGTAAAGGCTAGAATGCAAACACTCAAGGCTAACTGAGAAGTGGTAGAATGAAAAGTTGGGAAGAAATTTGCCCTCTCTGTCACATAATTATAGATGAAGTACATATCAGGAAAACTTGATAGAATTAACTTTACAGTAGGGGAAACAAAACCTAGCTTCCAGAAAAGAAATACCAATGACAGTATCACAAAGAAAATGGACACTCACACATCCACCCCCTTCTCAAATATTTTTGGACAATCTGTTGATCAGCACAAGCTCAACAGGCCAACCCCATGTGCCCTAAGAAGCAGTGGAAAGAATTCCTCAGCTAGTGCTGTTGTCATGTCTTCTGAGTCTGGATTGAGGGCAGAGGCTTAGGATTGGAGAGCAGCATTTACAAAACCAGGTTAGAAGCTGAGAAAAAGGCAACAATTCTGAGAGACTTAAAAATCAGCAGTTTTGTGATATGAATTGTGGTTCCTTCAGTAGCTAAGTGTGATCCACAAAACTTGGTTACATCTAGACCTTTACTTAAACTAATCAGGTTTTAGCCCTTTAATGGTAACGAAATGGTATTTTCTCAGTCACTCTGTTATTTCCTTTTCTCTTTACCTCATGTTTTGTACAAAAGATTTTTTCTTCAGCCATACCCCTTAGAGATCTGGATTGTTTTCAAATGACAGTGCATCTTAAAACCCCAATAGGTTTGTGGCAAACTAACATGGTAAAAACGTGAGCTGTTTAACATAATAAGACATGATCTCACATTTTGAGTTTAGCAAAAAATCCTGAAACCAGATACTTATGCAAATTATAAGAATTTCTTCTCCCCATTACATCTCAAGAAATTTACCAAGTAAGTTCCTGTCACAGAAGAAAAACATGGGCATCATGAGATAGACTTACAAGTGTGAAAATAATTTTGTGAATAAAAACATTTTGCAATGGGAATTCTGACAAGGTATCAGCAGGAAGGTTTTTCCTAACAAGTGTTCAATGAAGAAAAGCAAATCACTAAAATGCAAGTGACTACCCCAAAATGAGAAAGAAACTTACATGAGAAACCTGGTTATTTGACTTCCTAGCAATCTGAGCAATCACAGTAGTGTAGGCCAGTGTAAAACTGCATGTCCCTCCATCAGCTAAGTTCAAAGAGGTTGTGAAGCCCAAACCACTCCTAAGATGAACCCTTTGTTTAAGGCCCTGCAGCTTTGCACTGCAAGGCCCTGAGTCCTCTCCCATGTTCTGACACTTTGCTGTGGTAGCATATGTAAAGTATAAAGGTTTCCTGTGACACAGGAATTAATATCATCCCTAAGAACAAAGAGCACTGCAGTATAAGTACATGCATTAAATGAAAGAAGAATATCATATTGATCTTTTGGAGCACAAAGCGCAAGCTTTTAGGAACAGCCTGAGGAATAACCTCAATTAAAGACCTGAATCTCAAAGTCAAAATTAGGGCTCTTCTTTCAGCCATTCCCTTGCCTGGCCACTAGACCTAGTGTCAGGTTCCATTTATGGGAAAGGGTGAAAGCAGACTACACAGACAAGAAGGTGCAGTACCTAGGTAAGATAGGTCCTGTGGCTGTAGCCCACAAAGCATGGTCTGTATTTTTCATATGGTATTTTCAGGGAAGGTGGGGAAAGCAGAAGTTCAGAGACTCTTGACCAGCTGAAGAATAGCTAGATAAGGGACACAGAGGAGAGAAAAGGGGTCCCCAGTGATTCTTGTGGATATTATTTTAGTGGGGAACTAATTCTGTTATAGATACCTTGTTCCATGCTATAACTGAGCTGGGAAGGATGGGAGCAGTGCAAGTGAGATCTTATTTGGAACAAGATCTCTTCTACTGCATAATCTACTTGCTTTCTCCAGAGCCAAAGTCTGATTAAGAAGGGTAGAAGGCACCATGGAAAAATAATCTCTATCCATTGGAAGGGATAACTGAAGGCAGCGTGGGCTCACTTCAGGCTGCCTTATCTGCAAAGACAGAGATGACTTCAGGAGACTCCACAGGGAGACATGTTGTGCTTTACTTGGAAGAGTAATTATCATAACACAAGGCTTTTAAGGAGGAACAAGGGTAAAAAGGAAAATGTTATGGATCTGAAAATGTACCCTGAGAACAAAACAGCCAGGAAACAAAATGAGTACCACTAGAAACAAAGCTTGCTACAGCAGTCTCAAACAGGAGAGAGAGAAGTGCCAGAGCACTGCCTGTCGCTGTAGCAGTGCAAGATCCTGTGGGTATGTGTGACATGAACACTGAGTTTTATATGGCAATCCTTTGCCAGTGTTTAGTAGCTAATTGCACCATCAATTTGCAGTCTCAATCAATTATCAGGAGATGACACTGTAGCTGATGAAGCTCAAATGCATCATTTGTTTAACTGCATGCAAAACCCAAGCCCAAAAGATACAAAAGGCAGATAATTTAATTACTACTCTGGATATGAAAATGTCAGGCGCAACCTGGTAATTTCATGTCATAAATCTCACTGATATTCTGGTACATGATGTTGCAATAGCATTTATTTTACATTTAATATTAAAATTTATTTGAGCTTGTCTAACCAGTAATACAGTATGTGCCTGTCTCATTATTAGGGTGCAGTTTTTCATTTTCCCATAGCAGTATTTTTATTTATCATCAGTTCTGTTTTGAATGTTGGTTAAGATTAAAATAATTGTGAATCTGTCATTACAAACAAATATTGCATAACCTAGGTATGGAAGGAGTAAGCTTATTTATATCATTAGGTATTTATGTGATTTCAAGGCTAAGGGTTTATCCTGGATCTTTCGATTGGGTGGGCTAGCATTCAAGAACTAACACTGTTAGTTTTTTCTAGGTCACAGAGCAAAAGCAGCTCTTTGCAATCTACTAGATCTACATATATAAATGATGAAGCACCTTCTAAAAGAACTTCTCAAAGTGTGGGTAAAAAATGCCGACCTTCAGGATAACTGAAGTGAACCTTCATTTTTATGGGATTCTTTAGGCAATGATTCATGGATATGACAGCTTATCATATAAAAAAGCAAAACAATTTCCAAAGCTTATATGGCTTTTGAAAGGTCCATGAGCAAAAACTGTTTCACTGAGATTTGAAATGACGCAGGTGCTCTAAGCAGAGATGGCAGTAATCAAAGCTCCTGCAGTGCTTTTCATCTGCTGATGTCAAGGTAGTTAGGCAGTAAAGTCTGTAGGTAGCAAAGTTCTGTACAGATGTGAAAGTCATTAGCTAGAAACCTAGATAATTTTTTCTTGGAAACAGGAAAGCTTAAAGAGGCTGGATTAGGATTCAAGTCACATTGTTGATACAAAAAGATGAAGTAATTGCAAGTGTAATCGGTATTTTGAAGGGGGTAGCAATTTTTAAACATCAAAAGCACTAACATTAAAGCAAGCAAAGAAATTGGGGGTGGAGGCAAGTCCTCCATAAAAAAACTAGCTTGCAGTGATTCACTGTGTCACATTAGGCAGAAATACAGTTCTCTGCACGCTGCCCTGGTAGGAAATACCTGATGATTGCTAAAATATTAAGCACTATGATTCT